AGCTGTGTACCTTTAAAATATTTTAGAAAACCACAGAGAATCATATGGTAAATGTGTATGAGCCTGCGCCTGGCTTTAACAAGTTTTAGCATTTTGCTTTATTTAGTATGAAGCTAGTTTGAAGAGAAAGTCACAGCGGAAGGCTCCATTTTTATGCTTTCCCATTGAGAGACAACCACCGCTGACCCAGGGTCCCCCTGCAAGAATGAGCTCTTTGAGGAGAAGAAAAGTGATGAGGCTCAAAGCAGAAGTGACAGAGCCCGCTATGTCCTTACGTTACACACACTGACTTAATTCTCCAAGCAGTGCTCTTGGGTGGAAAGTGTTCCCAGAGAAGGACAGGAAGCCCTGAAAGCCGCACCAGTGGTAACATGCAGAGCCAGCCTGTCTCAGACAGGAGTATATGCAGAGTCTGAGCATGACTTTTCCTCTCCTTCAGTTATCTTTATTGCTATTTTTTTCCAAAGGCAGACTTTAATTTCTCATTTAAAAAATTATGTTTCTCTGATCTCTGGGTGTCAAGTCTTCTGCCTGCTTGCATCTTGCAACTTGAACTTGGAGTAATTTTCCTCTGTTTGTGTGAAGTTTTTGTTGTTGTCCTTAGACAGAAAGCGGTAAGCTGGAAATACCATGTCAGTGAAAAGGTCTTATGAATTGTTTTCTCAGTCTCCTAACTTAATTTGCCCTCCCAGTGACGGTAAAGTTTTATATCCTTCTATAACATGAATATCTTTTGTATTTAGTTTCTAGAAATCTTTGGAATAATAGGATTCTCTTAAATGTCTAATTACCCTAAATCTGAAGCCTCTGTAATGCTATCCAGTCAGCAGCTGGCTGCATATGAAGAGAGGCTAAACGCTCTTTTTTGTCTTGTTCATTTAAAATCATTTGCTTCTTCTTTAATATCTGCAAAGAACGCCATCCCATCATAGTAGAATTTGCCGTTGTGAATTTTGGATTGTTTCCATGGGTCCCGCCTTACATCTGCATGGTGTTTAAAGCCAAGGCTTCTTTTCTTTTTGTAAGTATTCAGGGCCTAGTGCCTCATAATCCAATGTCATGCTGAATGACAGAAAATTGAAGTTGAATTTATTTAACTACAGAGACGGACTGCACAGAACAATGCATTTTTAAAAGCACCCCTTGCCTCAGAAACTGAAGGAGCTGTCTTGTGCAGGTGGCTTAATCTTCGCTGCTGTTCTTGAGTTCTTTTATCCAGGACCGGAACTGGGCACTCTGCTTCCCAAAACAAAAGGACACAACTAGTCAACTAGAGCCCATATAAACCAGTGGGATGCTTACATGTCATTCAGAACAGCAAAGATATGTTCTACTTAAAAAAATAAATAGCTCAGCACTTTATATTAGAGAAAAAATAACGACGACAACAACAAAAAGCCAGGGGAATACATTAACTTGTAACCATGGACTGGTGCATTAAGGATTATTCGTCTTTTTTCTTCTCATCTATATGGTATTTTCTCTGTTTACCTAAAAAAAAGGATTTTTGGTGACACTGCTTGTATTTTCTATTTCCACTTACTTCACATGACAGCCTTTGGAGTTTCTCCTGTGTTAAAATAAAACATTTCTCTCCCTTCCCCATATTTTCTCAGCGATAGCTGTAACCGACACAGTGAACAGGCTTGGAGAGCCTGGTGTGTCTGCTCACTGTGGACTGTGAATTACAGACTAAGCCATTTGTGTGTATCTTGAAATGGAGAGAGAGGGAAAATATGGGGACAGATAGAAGAATAAATTTTTTAAAAACTTACTGTCATCGAGTCAACTCTAACACATGTTGACCCCATAGGACCAAATATAAGTGCCCATATAAAAAAACAAACAAATAATTGCCATATATTGGGCACCCTCAAAGCAAGAGATTTGAACCAAAGTCCAATGACTTTCAAATCCATAACCTTGGGATAGTAGTCATCCACTTCTTGTCACACTAGGCCATTTCAGTCTTCAGTCCAAGGGAGTATGTCAGTTCCTTTGATCTCACAGCACCACTTCTAAGTAAATATGTGACCTTCGATACGTAATTACCCTAATCCTTAGATTCTTTACCTATGAAGATAAATGTCTCTCAGGTTTTTGAGGTAATTGTGATCACTAAGTGGAATATATCAGACAAAGCACCCTGCACAGTGCCTAGACCTAGCACACCATTCACAAACATCAGCCTCCTTCTCTTCAAAATATTCTCCAGAATCCTAGTTATTCCTCAGAATATTGGTCTCAGTGTCGGTGTCTGAAAAGTGTGTGTGCGTTTAATAACAAAGTGACCTTATAGAACATTTACAGACATTACTTTGTTTTGAAAAAGTTATGGTCAAAAAGTCTATTATTTTATCTTTTCTCATATCTAATGTTAACACTTGATAAAAGGTAAAGATGCATCCTACAAAGACTTTCTATAAAGTCCATATTAAATCTTCTTTTGAGGATTCACCCCTTCAAACACATTTCTTCAGCCAAGCTTAAAATCTTCAGTCCGTGTGACTGTTGGCGCCTGCGTGCACTATCTGTGAGACCTTCCAGAGCCCTGGTGGAGTCACAGGCGATGAGTCGGGCTGCTAAGCTCAAGCAGTTTAAAACCACCGGTGTGCTCTGTGGGACAAGATGAGGCTTTCTACTCCCCTAAAGAACTGCAGTCGCCAAAGTCCACAGGGGCAGTCTGTTCCTGTCCTAGAGGGTGGCTAGGAGTCAGAATCCACTTGGCAACAGTGAGTTTGGCCTTGATTTTTTTTTGTGGGCGTTGCGGGGGTGGGAGTGGGGGGAACCTTACATTAACACCAGAGAGGATCCCCATTGGCAACTACCTGACAATTTGAGAGACAGAAGTACAGTGTATGTGAACATATTTGCTAATATTTATACAAATGCCTGATGAATCCTAATTAAAATATTCAGAATGATTTTATTTTCTGATTTAAGGTATTGGCTTTTCCTCATAAACCAAAGTTACTAAGACAGATTGTAGATGTATATAGAAACTTAATCTGTATTTATATAGATGCATACAGATTTTGAGCATTAGACTGGTAACCATAGGTTGGTGAGTTAAACTCACCAGCACTCCATAGGAGAAAGTTGAAATCTGTCAGCTCCCATAAGGATTTACAGCTTCATAATGGATGACAATGGGAACCCCCATGGCAACATCCGATTTCAGGATTGTTCCTACATGGATTTAGCCTCTGGTGGATTCTCTCCGACCATAGCTGAAGGATGTGCGTAGCCTTACTGTCACATAGAGAATACTGTAAACTCGATCATGGCCGATGTGATTAGGTGACAATGTGATACCTGATCATTTGATCTCTTTTTGACCCATTTTATATTTGTTGTGATTTTGATACTTCTGGCTTTTGTCACAACTAGAGATTTTTCTCCAGTTTATTTTGTAAAGTCCAGGATGAATGAAGCTATATAGAGTGTAACTGGATTAGGGTCTCACTGGGGGCATGGTCGTGGCGGAGGGCAGATTAGAAGGAAATGGGGAACCAATAATAAATACAAGAGGGAAGAAAATGTTCTGGAACTGATTTTAGTGGCAATTGTACAACTCTTTTTAATACGACTAAGCTATGGAATTGTATGATATGTGAACCATATGTCCGTAAAGCTATATTTAAAAAAAAAAGATTTACAGCTTCAGAAACCCGATACAAGATTGCTATGAGTTGGAATCAACTCGACGGCAATGGTTTAGAGGTTTGTATAAAGAAACAAGTTCTGAAGATCCCTTAGTAGATGTAGCACAGAAACTTTATAATTCCAGTGTATTAAGCGGTGTTCTGAGTTGATACTAGATAGTCTGTCTGTGTGTGCTGGTCTTCCTTGTTTCCATAAAGTACCAGCAAAGCCTGTCATTGGGACTGGGGTCCAGACCACAGTTCCCATCCACAGGCTAATATCAGGACTTGGATAATTCAAGCCATTTGCTCTTTCTGCTTTAATCTCAGTTCTGCCCCCACACAAATGAGACATGACTGCTTGAACAATCTTCTTCAAACCCTGCTTGAATTTCCCACTTTAAGACTCTATGGAAGTCAATTTCTTGCTTATATTTCTTTGGCTTTAGGAGTCATTAAAATGCCTTTTAAATGCTACCCGGGGATAACACAGTCTTTACTGGGACTCTGCCATGGTTTCCTTATTTGAGCTCTATAAGAAGGCCTTGGCCAGGCTTCTTGATTCGGGCCATCACGTGTTTTTCAGAAGTGTGCTACGTGATCAGAAAGATGTGTTCTCAGGTGCAGTTGAATCAGTTTCAACTCATAGCAACTCTGTGCACAACAGAGTGAGACACTGCCGGGATCTATGCCGCCCTCCCGGCAGTAGCAGATGTGTGTAGGCAGCACAGATTTCCTGTGAAGACATTAGGAAACCATAGGATCTTAGATGCTTGAAAATTAGCTTGCTGGTGGGGGTGAGCAGAAGCCCGATAATTCTGTGGGGTATCAGCATGGGGAGCACTGAGCAGTTGAAGAGCCCCATGAGGTCACACCGGCAAAATCGACTAAGTAACTGCATTATTCTTCAGGAGCTCTGAGTCACAACTCCAAAAGAATATGACTTATTCTGCTCTGAGCCCTCCCTGAGATATTGTACAGGGAAGGTCTGGTGATCTGCTTCCATTTAAGATTCTAATTACAACAAACTCACTGACATCGAGTCAACACTGACTCATAGTGACCCCTGGGGGTTTCCGAGACTGTAACGATATACAGAATCCAGTCTTTCTCCCACAGAGCTGTGGATGGTTTGAACTGCTGACTATGCACATCTCAGCCCAGTGCATAACCGCTACTCCACCAGGGCTCCATTTCAATCACAGGCAAGAAAACCCTATGGAACCAGTCTACTCTTTAACACATGTGGCCATCACGAATCAGAATGGGCCTGACAGCACTGGGTTTGGTTTGGGGTACAGGGATGTTTGAATATTTAAAAGTCATTAATTAAATTTATGCATGATATCATTTCAGAGTTACACAGTCAAGTAGACACACTTGGGCTAAGACTTCAGGCGGCAGTAACTGAGATGGACAACTATAAAGAAATGCTCAGGTAAGATGGTGAACACTGAGCCTTGCTCTAAGACGGCAGTGCCTGCCATAGGATGGAGAAGTTAGAGAGCTGCCCTGTATCTCCCCGAGACTGTCTTGCCTGTGAGTCAGTTGTGTGGGTACGCTCTACTGCTGCTTTCGTTGGCTACTTTTTGAAGCACCTGTAAAGATTTCTAAATACACGGTGTATCTCTTTCCCTCGATTCGAAACCTTTCCTGATTGACCTGATATAGTAACCTAAGATGAAATTACTCTATGCACTTCAGGTTCTATCTGTAGTACCATTGGAGATTGTAAAACTATCAACCTTAGCTGCAAAAAGAAAGCTTTGAAATGCTAAGGTACATATGCTTTACGTAGCGATAAAGGAAATTGAAAAGAGAGAGAGAAAGGGAGAGAGAGAAAAGATACGCTTGTAAACTATTCACAGCACTGTTTCTTCTTAAAATGAATTTTGTTACAGAAAGCTTAAGTTATTTTATAGTAAATATACATAATAACTATAATATTAGAATAGAATTTATATAGTCTTTGATAAGTTTTATTTTTTAACTTTGTGATATTTGAACTAGTAACTGATTTTCAGTGCCTACATTGTAGAAGCGTGAACCTCATAAGACATAGAAATATTTTGATGCCAGGGGCTTAAGTGGAGAGCAAAAGTTTTGAGACTGATGAGGGCAATGAATGTGAAAATGTGCTTTAAACAATTGATGTATGTATGGATTGTGATAAGAGTTGTATGAGCCCCTAATAAAACAATTAAAAAAAAAGAACACAAGTAAAAAAAATACAAAGAAAAAAGAAATATTTTGAGTGCTTAGCAACCAATTATTTGTGTCGACTGTGAATTCCTCCTACGAGCAATGTGTTTAATAAAATCCTTAACAATCCAGAAATTCTCTATCAAGTTAAAGTACACTGAGATTATTTGTAGTAAAGAAATTTGTTTTTGAAAAACAAAGGAAACCAAATATTTATGCTTTATCAATAATAACACAGCAAGTGTATGATCGCTGAGGCTGAAGAACTAAATGCCAGAAGGGTCTTAAGGAGCCCCAGTGGGCCCAGCAAGTAGCTTCTGGGAGATGAACAATAACAGGACTTGAGAAATAGGGAAAGGAGGACCCAGAGAGACAAGGCGGTGACTGCCAGGATAGTTCCTTGTTCCTTTCCCTCCAGCGACATCAGGGAGGAGTTGGATGTCTCGAGTGGAAAACAGCCTTCTCAGGCCACAGCTACTCTGGTCTTGATTTCTTGGAGAGGAAGAGGTGAAGAGAGCTCAGTCTAGCAATTGGGAGGGAGGGTGGCCCCTGACGAAGCTAAGGAGCAGCCCCTGGACTCTCCAAGACTTGACATATAGAGTGCAGTGCTGAAAAACTAGAAGAGCAGGTGGATCCAGAAGTAAGCACACGGAGGAGAAGGAGCAAAGTATGTTGCTTGTGACATACGTCAATTTCAGAAATGCTTTATTTCTGCTTGTTTTTTAATAGACCTTATTCCTTAGAGCAGCTTTGGTTGTACAGGTAAGTTGTGGAGAAAGAATAGAATTCCCCAACACCCACGCTCCTTTCCCTGCCTGCCCACAATTTTTCCTATTGATATCTTCACTCATGTAGTGCGTTAGTTACAATTGATGAGCCAATATTGAGAGATTATTTTTAACAAAAGTGGGTGCTTTACATTGGGTTCACTCCTTGTGCTGTTCAGTCTTGTGTGGTTTGATAGATGCTTAATGCCAGGTGTCTTCCAGGATAGACTCCTGCAGAACAGTTTCACCAGCTTAAAAGACCCCTGAGCTTCACCCACCCCTCCATCCCTCTCACCCCCTAGCAACCACTTATCTTTGGGCTCTTGATGTAGTTTTACCGACTTTAGAATGTTATATCCATAATTGGAATCACATGATACATACAACCTTTTCAGACTGATTTCTTTTCTTTGTATCTATTTGTATTTTGATAGCTCATCCCAATTTACTGCTAAATGATACTCTATTTTATGAATGTATTAATGGAGTATGAATATTCTGTATAGCAATTATGTAGTATTGGGAATTATTAATAAACTTGCTATAAACATTGGTGTGGAGGTTTCTGTGTGACCATAACTTCTCAGGTCATTTGGATAATACCTGGGAGTGTGGTTGCCGTCAGCTCATAGGGTAAGCTTATGTTTAACTTTGTAAGAAGCTACCAGACTGTCTCCAAAAATATGCCATTTTGCATTTCTGCCATCAATGCATGAGAATTTCTGTAGTGTCCACCTTTGGTGTTGTCAGTGTTGTTTACTTTAACCTTTCTAAATGGGTAGTGGTATCTTATCATTGCCTCCATGTGAAATTCCTTAATGACATAGGATGTTGAGCATCTTTACAGATGCTTATTTGCCACCTAGATATTTTCTTTGTTTTGGTGCTGTTCAGCTCTTTTGACCACTTGAAAAATCTGGTTCCTTATTTTCTTATTGTTAAACCTTGGGGGTTCTTTTTATAATTTAGAAATAAATCCTAATACATAGCATATTTGTATTAGTCTGGGTACTTTAGAGAAACAAATCCACAGAAATTCATCTATAGGAGAGAGTTTTATATAAAGGTTAAGTGCACATCAAGAAAACATCCCAACCTAGTGCTTCCCAAGCCCACAAGTCCAACATTAACCCATATGACCTACACCAATCCACAAAGGCCTCCTCCATCTCACAAAACACACACTGTGATGCTGACTACAGGAGGAAAGCCGAATCAATGAACGTGTAAGCATCTCAGCACTGGCAGGGGTCTCCACACGGCTGCTCCAGCACCCAGGGCTGCATCAAGGTAGGTCCATGTGGCTTCTCCTCAGGGATGTCTTGCAGGAAGTGAGCCTTGCCAGCTGAAGCAGGGAGCTGGCTAAGGCAGCTGCACTCTAGTCTAACCATCAGAAAGCAAGAGACCGGAGAACTAGAAAGGTGAGGCTCACCAAGTCATTTATCCCTCTGCCCTTCAATTAACCCCACATGTGTTTATTGACCAGGTTGGCACAATAAATTTTAACTATATCAATATCTATATCTATCTATCATCTATCTATCTATCTATCTATCTATCTATCTATCTATCTATCTATCTATCGATCTATAATATTTCCCCAGCCTATGGCTTGTCTTTTCATTCTCTTACTGGTGTCTTTCACAAGCATATGCTTTCATTTCAGTGAAGTCTACTTTATACATCTTGTCTGGATCGTGGTTTGGGTGTCATATATAGAAAGTCATTGCCACCTATGGTGTCTTCTAGTGGAGCCTTGGTGGTACAGTGTAAAGCATGTGACTGCTAACAGGAAGACACCAGCATAGAACCCACCAGCTGCTCGGTGGGAGCAAGATGTATTAGTCTGCTTCCAGAAAGATTAACAGTCGTGGAAACCATGCAGGGCAGTTCTTCCGTACTCTATAGCGTCCCTTTGAGCTGGAATTTAACACAGCAGTAATGGGTATGTGGACAAGTGCTGGGAGTCTTATATTTTACAGTTGAGTCTATGATCCATTCTGAGTTAATGTTGGTGAAAGCTGTGTGATCTGCGTCTAGCTTCTTTTTCCTTTTTGCACGTGGATGTCTGCCGTTTGTTGAAAATTATATTTTCTCCGTTGAGTTGTCTTCACCACTTTGTTAAAAGATTGGTTTACTATATTTATGAAGGTCATGTGAACTCTCTATTATAAATGTACTGATCCATTTTGTATTCTTTTGTCACTAACTTACTGCCTGAGCACTGTAGGTTTATCCTAAGTATTGAAATCGGGTAGCGTCAGTCTGCTCTTGAGTACAATGTTGACTGTCCTGGGTCTTTTGCTGTCCTCTGGAATTGTAGAATCAGTTTGCTTCCATCCGTAAAATCAGTTGCTGGGATTTTGCGCATCGGGATTGCATTGAGTTTGTAGACTGATTTGAGAAGAATTGACGTCTCGATAGCACCGAGTCTTTTTAACCCATGATCATGAAAATCTCTCTTCACTTATTTAGATCTTCTTTGATTTCTTTCATCACTGTGTTAAAATTTTCCTCATTTAGACACTATGCATATTTTATTAGGTTTATACTTAAATATTTCATTTTAGGGTATGAATATAAATGGTCTGTTTTTAATTGATTAATTGATTTTTACAGAGTATGTTTGCATAAGTCCATACATGCAAGAGTTTATCATTTCATAATAACATGGCTTGTAGTAATTTGTTGTTCATATTTTTAAATATAACTTATTATATGAATGCTGAAATGGTAAGAGTCATGAAAGAATGGAGTTGAAGGGAGAAATGCCCTACCTCATTAAATAACCTGCAGGAAATCACTATACATTGCAGAAATGGTGATGCTGCTCTATCAGTTTATACAATTGGTGCTGCCTCGCCATTGAAACACCTGTAAGAACTTCTTAAAATTAAAAAAAATGGACAGAGTGGATAATTATAGAAATTTTGCATCCTGAAAGACAGAGCCACTTAAATAGCCTCAACTGCTAGAGACCTTTCTGTGTGCGTCTCTATCTGGCTCCTTCATCTATACTCCAGCTATCTGCCTTTACTACTGGAATTACAGTGAGAATGTGGCCTTTGGCCATCAGAGCTCAGGAGATCCTCAGTAGCATAGAAATATTATTTTAGGTATAAATTAAAACCAAATTTGAGGTTTGATTTGTTGCTTTATGATTAATTAAATTTGAAGTCAAAATAACTGAAAAATCTTGGATAATAGTAGATTTGGATAATGGTAGATTACCCAAATCAAACCTCTTCAGACTTCCAGAAATTGGAAGACACTGTAACAATAGATTCCTTTAAATAGCTAATCCTCACCCTTTGTGGGTATGGAGGTAGGAATGGATTTTGTCAATTTTCTTGGGATAAAAGTTTTGTTTTTCACTGTTTTCTTAATACATAGATATAAATTTTCCAGGTTTTGACATAAGTGAAAGAGGCAATTTATAAATGAATAGAACTGGAGTTATTTATTTCTA